GGGCTCCCTGCTCAGCAGGGAGTCTGCTTCTCCCTCTGACCCTCTTCCCTCTCGCGCTCTCTATCTCTCATTCTCTCTCTCTCTCTCAAATAAATAAATAAAATTAAAAAAAAAAAAATCTAAAACTCCACCACAGCAAAGACTGTTGGGGAAAGAATAAAAAGACAAATGGACAGACTGCGAAAAAAAACTGGCAGATCCCACCACCAACAGGGGCTAATTTCCCTAATACGTAAAGGCTCCCGAAAAATCACTAAAAAAAAAAAAAAAATGGGCAAAGAAAATGAATACAGCTCACAAAAAAAGGAAATACAAATAGGTCGTAAACCCAGGAAAAGATGCATAAACTCACTACTAAGAGAACCACAAATTAAAACTGTTAAGAAAACAATTTTTCCCACGGCACTGACTAAGGTTGGAGAATGTGGGCGCCACGCCAAGCCAGCAACAACGCAGGAAGAGACACGTGCCTAGAGCCAGAGTGCAAACCGGTGAAGCCTCAGAGACAGCAGTTTGGCAATACCTGTCACGATCGTAAACACACATGTCCTTTGATGCAAGAAGGACTTTCTAGGAATCTATCCCACAGATGCACTCACACAAGTGTGAGATGTATATATAAGGCACCACATGTTGTTTCTAAGAGCAAAAGCATGAAAACCGCCACAAAGGCCAGCAGAGAGACTGGTCAAACACATTACAGTGCATCCACCAGGCAGAACACTATGTGGCCTTATGGACCGCTGTGAGACTCCAAGCTGGGAACAACGTGAAAAGCACAGTACGAAACAGTGCGCGCAGGATGCTACACCGGGGGCAGAGTGGGTAAAGACAGCAAAAGCGGAATACACACACACACACACACACACACACATACACTTGCTTGATGTGGGAAGTAGAAGTACCTCAAGGAGATTTTATGACACACCGATAATACTGGTTGCATTCAGGCAGGGGAACAGGTTGGAAGAGCAATTTCACTTTATTTTTTAAAATTACAAAGAAAGCTTGTAATAAAGTGAGAACAGGCTCATTAAATAATGTTAACTGAACAAAGCAGGAAACACTGCTAGATAAGCACCAAAACAGTAACAAAAATTACATCCGTGTGGTTGACTTTGTACACTTTTTATTTTCTTCCCTTTTTCTATAATTTCCAAACTTCAGATATGAAGCATGGATTAATTTTAAAACACAGAAGTAATTTCAGAATTTTATATAAATTCTATTCATGTAATCACAGTCATCAGCTATTAGGAAGAGCAAAAGAATGACAAGCGATTTTATCTATTACTCTCACTGAGGCTAAAAAAAAACTAAAAATCAAGCCCACAGATTTTTTTTTTTTTTTTTTTTTAAGATTTTATTTATTTGACAGAGAGAGACACAGCGAGAGAGGGAACACAAGCAGGGGGAGTGGGAGAGGGAGAAGCAGACTTCCCGCGGAGCAGGGAGCCTGATGCGGGGCTCGATCCCAGGACCCTGGGATCATGACCTGAGCCAAAGGCAGACACTTAACGACTGAGCCACCCAGGCGTCCCAAGCCCATAGATTCTTTTTTTTTTTTTTAAAGATTTTATTTATTTATTTGAGAGAGAGAGAGAGAGAATGAGAGCTAGAGAGCATGAGAGGGAAGAGGGTCAGAGGGAGAAGCAGACTCCCCGCTGAGCAGGGAGCCCGATGTGGCACTCGATCCTGGGACTCCAGGATCATGACCTGAGCCGAAGGCAGTCGCTTAACCAACTGAGCCACCCAGGCGCCCGCCCACAGATTCTTAAAGACAACTTTCCATAAAAACATCACCGGTTTTGGGAATGCCTGCATGGCTCAGTCGGTTGAGTGTCCGACTCTTGGTTTCAGCTCAGGTTGTGATCTCAGGGTCGCAGGATCGAGCCCCGGGTCAGGCTCCACACTCAGCGCAGAGTCTGCTTTAGATTCTCTCTCCCTCTCCCTCTGCCCCTCCCCAACACTCATGCTCTCACTCTCTCTCTCTCGCTCAAATACATAAATAAAATCTTTTTCTTAAAAAAAAAAATCACTGTTTTTTAGCTCCAGGGCGTACATACAGCTCTTGACCCAGTCCCTCCAGGGCTGAGAACACAGAAGAAACAGGGGCCTCACTCACATCCGTCTGGAGGTGTGCGGGGGCTTCCGAGTTGTCATTGAGCCTCCGAACGCTGTCATAGTGCTCTCCGCACCGATATGCGATGTGTAACTCCCTCACACTGCTCTTCTCCGTGCCACGAATCTACAGCAAAAGAAGGGGAGACAGATGCCAGAGAGGATCTGGATGGTGTCAACTGCGGGAAGGAGACGCCCGCTGGGTTGTCCAGGAAGCCCAGTCAGCAGACACAAATTTGGGATGGGCCTGGATGTGCCAGAGGGCTGGGCCAGAAGAATAGGTATCTGACAGTATCTGCTGCAATGAGAGATTTGGTGCTACACACCTGGACTCTGGGCCCTGTGTTTTTAGCCTCTGATTTAATTTGTGGGAAAAAAATAAAGGAAAGACTTTCTCTAAAAAAAAAATGCTTAGGCAACTTCTGAATTCTCCTTCTCCCACCCATGTTATGTAGGCTTCAATATGCTTAACATGTAACTATATGGAAATCTATTCACATGAAAAAACATAGTCAAAAGCTGGAGCAGATTTACGAGGAAGTTAAAGCAGCTTACGTTTCAGAGGCATCTGCACCCCTCAGCCCCTCCATGCACAGGCCCTTTCCGGGGTGGGAGGCCCAGGGGCAGAGACAGATTTGTTCAGCTTGAAGCTCAAACAACCTGGGGCCCTCTTTGAGAAAAAGAATACAAAATTACAATATTAAATTGCTAGAACCCCTCCCAAGACCTTGAAAGGGGACTATAAAAATGAGGGACCGGACACTCATGCTTTATTAGCTTCACAGTAAATCCACCCATCGTTAAAAATAGCATTTTCCATCAACCGCATACTAAGGAACATTAACAAGAACAAACTCAAAAATAGCCCAGTTATACCAATTTCAAAACAAAATGAGATACATTCAAGCAGTACTACCACGGTGCCCAACGCTGAAGGCACTGCTCCCAAGGCAGTCTATGCAAATGGTACCCACAGAGCACAGCCTGACAAGAATGGTGTTCCCTGGAGCCGTGCCATACAGAAGCCCTAAGGGCTGGCCTGGGTATGCCCCCAAGAAACCACCACCTCCACAGAAACTCCTAAGTAATTCTGAATCTGTCCCTGAAAAAGCCCAGCAACTATTTCTTTGTTAAAACTCCAAAACATCAGCACCTCCTTCTCGTTTTTACTGAAAGTCATAGGTAGTAAGATACTGCCATTAATTCAAACTGGTCTAAAACACAGCAAAACCCACGGAACAAGCAGGAACCACACAAGTCGAGAGGTCAGAACCATGGAAATTTCCTCCAGGTGGAATACTTAGGTCTCAAAATACAGAGAGTCTGGTTTTGACCCATAATAGAGCAAATACCATTTATCTCCCAGGAAGAGTAGTGGAAAAGGAAACTAGTTGATTAGAATCTTTGAATGACATTATCCCTAAAGCATGTGCATATTTAAATAGTACTCTATACACATAATGAATAGGAAAAAATAACTGGAGTAGTCACCAAATTGTTAACTGTGATGTTCACGGGGAAAGAGATGACAGAGGACTTTCATTTTCTACCCTACGCATGTCTACACTGTTCACAGAAGCACATACTCCATTTGTAACCAGGAAAAAAAAATACAGGTTTCAGGATCTCCATGCTGTGAGTACAAGTCTACTCATTCATTATTCATGCAAGAGCTCTTACCCCAGACAGTAGCAACCAATGTAGTTTCAATTCTTAAATTTTATAAGATATTTCAAAAGGGAGTGGGAAGATGGAGGAGATCCAGTGCATAGTTTCATTATATAGCAAATACATTTATTTTAAAAACATATATGTTCAGTGTTTAGCAATCCATAAAAAAGAACACTACAGAAACGTATTTGCAGGGGCACCTGGGTGGCTCAGGCAGTTAAGTGACTGCCTTCAGCTCAGGTCATGATCCTGTAGTCCGGGGATCGAGTCCGATATCAGGCTCCCTGCTCAGCAGAGAGTCTGCTTTTCCCTCTGACCCTCCCCACTCTCATGCTCTCTCTCTCTCTCATTCTCTCAAATAAATAAAATCTTAAAAAAAAAAAAAATTTGCAAAAAAAATTCTAACTATGCAGAATTATCTTCCACAACTACCTAGATAATCAAAAAACTTTAAAAAAGAGTTATCAGGGCGCTTGGGTGGCACAGTCAGTTAAGCGTCCGACTTTTGATTTCAGCTCAGGTCATAATCTCAGGGTCGTGGAATCGAGCCTCTGCACTCAGTGCAGAGTCTGCTTGTCCCTCTCCCTCTGCTCCTCCCCTCCACACACACATTCATACTCTCTCTTTCTCTCTCAAATAAATAAATAAAATCTGTAAAAAACAGTTATCAGTGGAGGAAAAGGCAGGCTGTAGTTACTAAGTTGGCACGGAGTATTTTCCTTCAAGAATAGGGTCATAATGCTATATATTCAAATGATCTTGATGACTTCTGCTAAACAGTAAAACTTTAATGACAACAAACTGGGACAACGGAAGCAGTAATCAGTGTTCTTGACCCTAAGACCATCCCTACAAAGAGAGAGTCTCAGAAAATATGAGCGCATTCCCTGGTGCCCGTCCACCTGACAAGACTGCCCCAAAACACAGCACATACAGTCACTGTCCCCTCCTGCCCTGCCCCTTGCACCAACCCATGAGTATCTCACTTACTCTGTTGTAAGAGAATTTCGTTAAAGGATATTATGCCAGACGCAGAAGACTATATACTTCCATTTATAGGACATTCTGAAAAGGGAAAACTGTAATAGATAAATGATATTAGTGGTTACAAGAAGCGAGGGATGCGGAGATGGAGCTGTGACTGCAGAGGGGCATGAGGTGACTTTTTGGAGTCGTGGAAATAGTCTGTATGTTGACGGTGGTGGTAGTGACAAGACTGTGTTTGTCAAAACACACAGAAGTATACATTAGAGAAGGGTGAATTTTGCTCTATGTAAATTGTCTCTATAAACTTTATTTTTAATGAGCAAAGGCTAGAAATAAACAACTCACAAAGGAATATATATGTGCAGGTGGTATATTTAAAAAATGAGGAAAAAAGGTCATCGTTGCCTTTATGAAAATAATAATAGAGATATGTGTGTGTACACATGCACATGGATGCATCTTCATGTGCGCAGATGTGCTTCAAAACACAGTGGTATGAAACCACTGTGATACGTCTCTTTCCAGCTTCAGCTAACCACATATGAATGCTGGGGATACACATTCACATGTTAACAGTAATAATCTCTGAGTGATGTGACTCTAGGTAATTTTTATTTGCTTTTATGGGCTTTTCTGAACTTTCAAATTTTTCTAGCATGTCTTAGCTAATTAAAAAAAAAACTTAGAAATGGGGAAGTGATGGGAGGAAGAGAGGACTAATAGAAATCCTATGCACCGCTTCAGGAGCTGAGTCACAAGAGGAAAAACAGCACTGTGAATGCAAGGATGAAGGGTAGGGGGTGGCAGCCTAGAGACTCCCCCCACCCCCTGACCTGTGGTTTTCCATACTCCAGAATGTTTGGGGGAGATGAGGTTAATTTAGGATACCAAAGGTAAAGAAGGGCAAAAACAGGTGAATGGACAGGTACTTCATGACAGGGGTTTGGGGACCATCCTGAACATGTGTCATAAAATCTTGTTTGCCATAGAAAAACCACGAAAACCATTCTGTGTGGCTGGGCAGAGCAGAGAACAGAGCTTGACCATCCTAGGCCATGAAATACATTTTGCTGTTCAGAACACACTTTTTAGCAATGCTTACTAAGTGCATTTGGTTTTTGTCACCCTCCACGTAAAAAAAAACAAAACATACACATGGGATAGGCATACGTCCAACCAGAATTTGTAGGCACTAATCCTCTAGATTCCCACTTTACTATTTTCTACAGTGTTATCTAAAGTATTTCCATGTTAGGCTCTCTGCCCTCAAATTACCCAGTTATCTGACTGCTAAATAATATATATATTTTTTAGTTTTTATTTAAAGTCAAGTTAGTTAACAAACAGTGTAATATTAGATTCAGGTGTACAATTTAGTGATTGAACACGTCCGCAGGACACCCAGTAGTCATCACAAGTGCCCTCCTGCATCACCATCACCTTGCTAAATAATACTGTTAACCTTCTAAAGCTCTCTTGACTTATACTTCAGACTCCCTATGTACATAGCACAGGGTTTAATTCCAAGCCACCAGCAGCTTCCCGTCTGTGGGTAGGCCTGCAGTCCAAGTGACCCTGTACGGTTCAATATCACCATCTCCAGACACCCCCAATGCTAATTTATAAATAAGAGCTTAAGATAAGTCCCTCAGTAGGTGACCTACCTGCCACAAAGGGGCATTAAGTTGATGAATCACCACATTCAATTGATGATTTCTTGCAAAGGCTACGATTGCATCATTACCAGCAAAGGTGCCAGGCTTTGCCAAACTGGCCACTGCACAGAAACAGGAGAGAGAGAAAAATGAACTCTTTAGAATGGAAAAATCCAAGTGCAAACATGCTTTGGTATTTGCTTAGTTCCAAATGATAAGAAACAGAAGGACATATCTGAGAAGTCCATTAGCTGTCACAACTAGGAATTCAGTTGGTTAAACAGTATGTCGACTGCTACTCAGAAGAGTACCAATCATTCACAAAGGAGTCATTTTTTCCTTCATTAAATACTGACTGCTTCCTATATGCCTAACTCTGTAAGAGACTGGACGATAACCAGAGTAACCTTCAGTTTGCATTAATGAGTGTTATTAGGTGTTAAGCACAGCTCTACTCACTTCTGGGTTATTACTTTTAATCCTCAAAACTCTCTGAAAGAGATATCATCATGCAGCACCATCTTATAGATAAGGAACCCAAGGCACAGAGTAGTTTATAACTGTGCCCAAGGTCACAGAGCCAGTACACAGCAGAGCTGAGATTGCATCCCAGGCAGCCTGACTCCAAGGATCTGGCTCTTGGCCACCCCATTATGGAGCCGGTCACAGTTTGAGTTCAAGGAGTCTACAACCAGTGGGGGGCAAACAACAAGAAAACAGGCACTACTGATGCATAAGTGCTTCAGGAAAGGGATGTACAATAAAGAACTTGGCCTTACCCAGAGAGGTCTGGCCTTTGGTCCCTGGCTCCTGGGTAATAACCTCTAGACCCCTGAAATTTCCCAGGTGAAAGGATGATGAGCCCCTTGGCCACACTTGACAGTTTATGCTAATGAGGTGACTCATGATGGGCCTCTCTGGCCACGTGATGTTAGAAGACCTGGGGAATTGGGAGCTGGATACTGAGTGTAACCACTTAGGCAATCAATCAATAATATCTACATAATAAAGCCCCAATAATCCAAACACAGAAGTTTGTGAGCTCCCTGGCTGACAATATTCTGTGACTGTGTAACCTTCCCAGACTCTACCCCTTGGCTAATTTTGATCCATATCCTTTACTTGTAATAAATTATAGCTGTGAGTATAACAACCTTCAGTGAGTTCTGAGTCCTAACAAATTATCGAAACTGAGAGTGGTTCTGGGAAACTCCCAATCTGCAGTTCGTATCAGAAGAGAGTCTTGTGGAAGACTGTGACCCCAAACCCTGTCATTTGGCTGACTCCAGATCAGGACCACAACTCAGACTGGTAGTGGGAGGGGGAAGTAAGGTGTATCAGACAAGCTTCTCAGCTGAGACAACTGCACTGACTCCCAAAGGGTGAGCAGGAGACAGACAGAAGAAGAATGATGACATTCCAAGCAGAGGCGAGAGAGTGGATGAGCTTGTGCACTGCACAGTATGGCAGGAACTCGGGACTGCTGAGAGCCAGGGGGAGGGGAGCGTAGAGAAGTAACAAGAGCTGAAGAGTTTAGACTTTATCCTCAGGTCCATGGGGAGCTGCCAACAGGTTTTAGATAGGGGAAAAAGGTCTTAGATGTGCATTTAAATCACCACTCTGGCTGCAACGTGGAAGACACACTCAAGGGGTCAGGAGGCAAAGGAATCAGTCCAAAAAGTATCGAAGAAATCTAAGCAAATGGCCACCGAGGCTTGATTTTATGAGGGAGGAGCAGTGAAAGAAAAAAGCATTAAGGTAGAAGTGACAAGACTTAAAAAAAAGACTGGGCATGAGGAGAGAGGGGGAGAAGGCACTGAGCATATTCAGGTCTCTGTATAGTTGGAGAAGCCAGAGTCTAAAGGAAAGGAACAATCCTAAACAACACAGCCGTACGCCAGGGTAACTAGGCCCTAAAGAGTTAAGTGAGCCATTTATTTATTCACTTAACAAATGTCTTCCGAGTGCCTACCACGTGCCAGGCAGTGCCACCTTGGGGAACAACCCCAGTCCTTGCCCTCAAGAATCTCACGGTGTAAAAAGGCAGACAGGCATTAAAAACACATTAACTAGAAGAGTGATAAATGTAGTAAGTCTAGTCTTCCAGTGACCTGCAAATGGAATGTGGAGACTTCTCAGTTTCCTTTCATTCCACTATGGCAGTCAGAGCCACCTCTCACACCTCTGATGCTCAATTTCTTACAGAGCACCAACCAACCATCAGGCAAACACAGTGGCATTTCAAAAACACACCCTCCAGGGGTGCCTGGGTGGCTCAGTCGTTAAGCGTCTGCCTTCAGCTCAGGTCATGATCCCGGGGTCCTGGGATCGGGTCCCGCATCGGGCTCCCTGCTCCGCGGGAAGCCTGCTTCTCCCTCTCCCACTCCCACTGCTTGTGTTCCCTCTCTCACTGTGTCTCTCTCTGTCAAATGAATAAATAAAATCTTTAAAAAAAAAAAACAACACACCCTCCTGTCGTACATCTACAGGGACCATCACGCTAGCGACTGCAGGCTTGAGTCCCTTGTCCTGCCACACCCCCAAATCGACCACGTGACCTCCACTGCAGCTACTCACAGCAGAATCTCCAGTCACAAACCGAAAACTCTCTTCATCCAAAATGATATTTTAATTGGACAAAGGACACAATTCATTTTATATAGCGCTAAACTACAAAACTTGCCCCATAGACCCACACTTGTAAACAGCTGACCATCTAGTAACTTGGTATCTGCTAGACAAAAAGTGAGCCAGGGAGAGGAACCATCAGAACTCAGTGACTGGTGTCAACTACTCACGGGGGGAGGGATGGTTTGCTGCTGTGTCCCTTTGCTGCTGGTGCCTAATGAATGAGTCCTTTCCTGGTGGGAATGAGTCCTTTCCTAGTGAGGAATGAGAAAGGCTTTGGGGTCATGAATAGTCTCCTCCCAAAGGTCTTCCTCCTGCTGCCCCCTATCTTGATGGAGGGTGTAAGGATACAGCTACCTAGCCATTCTCCAGAACCGTCAGAATCACCTCTGTCTCCTCCTCCTCCTCCCCTCCTCCAGTGAGGCCCGTCAATTATAATACCAAACGGTGTCTTGGTCCCATTGCCCCCAGGGGCTGGCGGAGACCCTCTCCATTGTTTCATCCGGCCAATGTGGAGGGCCTTCTAACTCATCCTCCACCTAAGTCTCTGTCCGTCCTTTCTTGACATGGTTTCCAGAATTAGTTCTCTACAACCCAGAAAGATTCTGTCTCTTTCTTAATAAGGGTATTATGTGAGCCCTGTGATGAAAACGTTAGTTGCAAAATACAAATGGATCAACACCTCGTTTAGTAGATCCTTAAAAGTTTATTTACTTATTTATTTATAGATTGTATTTATTTATGTGAGAGGGAGAGAGCGAGCACAAACAGGGGAAGAGACAGAGGGAGAAGCAGACACCCTGCTGAGCCAGGATCCCCGATGCAGGGCAGGGCTCTATCTCATAACCCTGAGGTCACAACCTGAGCTGAAGGCAGATACTTAACCGACTGAGCCATCCAGGTGCCCCGAACCTTAAAGTTTAAAAGCTCAAATGTACTAGGGCTCCTGGGTGGCTCGGTCAGTTAAGCGTCCAACTCCTGATTTCAGCTCAGGTCATGATCTCGGGGTCCTGGGATGGAGCCCTGTGTCAGGCTCTGCACTCAGCAGGGAATCTGCTTCTCCCTCTCCCTCTGCTCCTCGGGAAAAAAAGCTCATATGTACTTTCTTACTAGAGTTGAGCTAATTTAAATCACTAACTGACTTGCCTCAAAGAAAAGTGGTTGTGTTTGGGTTTCTGGTGAGGAATTAAAATGACTACTGCTTTTTCTGATTATAAAAGCAATACGTGGTCATTTTGAAACTCAGAAAAATACGCAGAAGATCATTTAAAATTGTCATAGTCCCACCATCCCCAGATGGCTGACATTTATTAAAAACTTATTTAATTGTATTATCTAATTTAATCTTTACCAAAAACCCTATATATTGGTGTTATTATATCTCCAAGTTGTTGAAAGTAAGTGGTTTCTGAAAAATAAGCAGAGCCAAGAATTACCAACCATAAAATGTTAGTACCTACCCACTTTTCCTAGTGTGTTTCTGTGTGTGTATACCTTTCAAAACGAAGATCAGTCTATATATATATTTTATAGGCTCCTTCTACCCCCCACTGAATAAGAAGTCATAAATACTCTTCAGGTTAATTAACATCATCATTTTTATTAAGGGTACAGACACCTAAACCTATTGATTCCCAACTGCCTAGCTTGCTGCCTATTACAGAGCAGACAAATATTTGTTGAATAAATGAATGAATGCCATAATTTATGTAATCAAACCCCTGACTGAGAGGGTGGGGAATGCTGATGGATTTAATTACCCAATGCATTACTCCTGGAGGATCCAGTGTCCCACGGTGAACCTACCATGTTTCTCAAAAGGAATGTCATCTTCTACAAAGGGTTCAAAATCTTCCCGCTGCTTTATCATGTAATCCACTGTCTCTTGTCGGTGCTTGAGATGATTTCTTGAGTGTCCCTCCAACTGATCACCAAGTGCTCTGAACAGGCAATTGCTATCAAAACAAAAATGTTGGTCAAGACCTTTTAAAAATGAACTTAGTTCGTCTGAAACAATGATGCTTCGTGCTAGGTCACCCATGGAAATCGTTCCTGTTGAGATAAAGCCTCAACTCTGACAGTCCAGGATTCTTCCCAAACACTGTGGGGAGAGCACTAGGGTAGGCATTCAACCACATCACCTTCTTGAGAGGCAACAAACTAGGATCTCATTCCCCACTTAGCAGCTGGCTGACTCAGGAAAGACAATAAACTCCCCAGGCCTCAGCTGCTTCAATACATGGAGGTGATGATACAGTAACCACCTGAAGACGGGGTCCAGACATTATGGGCCATTCCACACCTAAGGACTATGATTTCCAGAGCCCCTTCCAAAGTAATAAATCGTATCTACTGCCTCTTTTCTGAAACCAGCTCCGCTACAGCTGCCCAGCTAACTAATCATTCATCTAACAAAGAGTACCCAAAAGATAGCAACTTGTCAAGCTCCTAATACAAGCAATTGAACTCTACATCCTGTTTGAGTCCTACAAACGTAGTGGAGAAGACCGTGAGAAGGAAAGCTCGTGTACAACACATAGTTGTACTATGCAATGACACTCTCTCTCCTTGGCTCCCCTCCTCCCACCCACGGAGCCACAATGCCATTGTTATTCCTGCCAAATGGAAACTTTAAACACCATTTTTTGTTTCTCAAATTAAAATGCTGGTAATAAACTTTAAGAGCTCTTTCCTTGGAAACCCCTCAAAGGCTTCTAAAATTCCAAACTGTATCACAAACACAAAGCCCAGACACATGGAAACTGAAACAAGAAAAACACCATCCAGTATCCTTAAAACTAAGGCAATAAGCCATTCTGAAGCCCAACAGTTGCCCAGTTTCACACCAAACTGTTCACTCTCCCAAATGAAGAATAAACTCATTGCAAAATATAAACTCATCACTTCCAGAACTTCAGACCTAAATATGCAGGAGAAAGAGGTTTTTTGTTTCCAACTCAGAAAAGTGAGTTTTCAACAGAAAGTTATGGAGAAGGCAGAAATCTCTTCAAACATATAAGGATGTACCCTTTTTTTTTTGCAAAGGGGAAGGACAATTTAAAGAATGCAGATTCTATAAACTAGAAACCAAGAAACTATGCATCAGTTTGGGGCAAGATTCTACAACCAACTGGAATACAGCATTTCTATATACCACAATGAGGTGTCTTTTGCTAAAATATAACAATAGCCATCTTTTTTCACCCACAGGAAAAAAAAAGTAAGCTAATGGATAAGATGGTCTCAATTTTAAGCTTTTCTCTCAAACTTCATTAAAGGCTTAGTACCTGCCACCACTAGTCAGTCTACTCTTGAATCTAGTTTAAGAGGTGTGATTTGGGGGTGCCTGGGTGGCTCAGCCGGTTGCGCACCCGACTCTTGATGTTGGCTGAGGTCATGATCTCAGGGTCGTGGGATCAAGCCCCACGTTGGGCTCTGTGCTCAGCACAGAGTCTGCTTGTCCCTCCTCCCTACCCCTGTTTGTGGGCACACGTGCTCTCTCGCTCTCCATCTCTCTCTAAAATAAATAAAATCTTCAAAAAAAAGAAGTATGATTTAGCACAAAATTATGTATTTAGTTATTTTACATTAAATTCATGATATTCTGCAGAAAGTAATATGCTTTCTAAGAACTTTCAGTAACATGGGCAAATGTTCTCCACATAAGCCAAAAAACAGGGATGAAACTATGTGTGCTGCGTGAACTTGACCATGTCCATCTCCCCCATATATACAGACACGAAACACACACCAATGTATGCAAACACTGAAACCATCACTTACATAGCTCTTACGATGTGCCACAGACTGTTCTAAACACTTTATACGTATTAGATGTGTTTAGTCCTTACAACTCTATGGGACAGGTCCTATTACTATCCTCCTTGGGTAATTTACCCACGGTCACAAAACCAGTAGATGGTGGGCCCAGGAGTCAAACCCAGGCACCAAAAGGTTAGCCATAGTTATCCCTAGATAGTGGAATTAGGAGTAACTGTTAAACGTATTTTAATACATTTGTCTATGTTTACCAAACTCTCCTTGAGCTTACTAAAAATAAGTAGGCAAAATGAAAAATCAAGATAGACAAATCACTTTCTTTTCTGAAGGAGTAACAAGAGAGTGACACAGGAACAGTGAACACTACACCCTTAGCGTATGGGGCAGCCTCAGGGAGGCGAGCAAGAACATCGTGATACCCACGAGAACAATGCGACCAGTGCCCAAAGGCCCTCTAGGGGATCCCAACTGTTTCCTGAGCCCACACCCCCTCCCAGTACACTACAGCAAGGCTTCTCAACACCCATACTATTGACATTTGGGGATGATTCTTTGTTGTGGGGGCCGTCCAGCACACCGTAGGATGTTTAGGAGCATCCTCAACCTCTACCTACTAGATGCCAGTGGCACCCCCACCGCCTGTCAGTTGGGACAACCAAAGCTGTCTCCAGACATCGCCAAATGTTCCCTGGGGGCGTCAAAATCATCTCCACGTGAGAACCACTGCACTATCAGGATATATGTAAGGTCTTGCATTTGAGTTCACAAAAATAAGCAATTACGTAAGTAGTGTGTAAGAGTTCTGGGTGCTCAATAATAGTTTAGGAGGAGACAATATTGTAACAGCCACTGAAAGAACTAATGGCCCCCTGAGGCTGCAATCATAGTAGTTAATATGCAGAAAGGGCGGGTTGGGGGTGGGGGAGGGACAGGTCTTGTCCTCTTTGAGGTCAGACCGCAGCTGGAGTACTAAGTATGATTCTGTGGTTACCTCATTTCAAGAGAGACATGTTCAGATGAGAAGTGACTTTAAACTATATAAATGAAGAACATGAACAACTAGTGCTTAGCCTAAAGTGGGCTCAGGAGGACATGAGAGCTACCTCCAACTATGTGTCATGGTGAAAGGGATGCTGTATTTGTTCAAGGGAGCTCCAGAGACACAGATTAGGGCAAATGAAAGGAAATTTTAGCTCTATGGAAATAGGTTATAAACTAAAGATCTTGTAAATTTCTATCTACTGGCAATCCTCAGTAATTGTCTACATATGTGCTGTACACAATGGTAGCCAATAGCCACGTGTGACTACTGAGCGCATGAAATGTAGTTAATCGAAACTGAGGCGTGTTGTAAGGATAAGATACTGGATTTTGAATGGTATTTTAAAGACGTAACATATCTCATTAAAAATGTTTATATTGAGGGGCACCCAGGTGGGTCAGTTGTTAAGCGTCTGCCTTCGGCTCAGGTCAGGATCCCAGGGCCCTGGGATCGAGCCCCGCATCGGGCTCCCTGCTCTGTGGGAAGCCTGCTTCTCCCTCTCCCACTGCCCCTGCTTGTGTTCCCTCTCTCGCTGTGTCTCTCTCTGTCAAATAAATAAATAAAATCTTAAAAAGTTTTTATTGATTATATGTCAAAATGATAATATTTTAACACATAGTGACATATGTATTAAAATTAGTTTCACCTGTTTCTTTTTACTTTTTTAATGTGGCTAATGGAAAAATTTTAAATTACATATTGGCTCCTGTTTTATTTCTATTAGACCAGCACTGGTCTAGATCATTGATTCTCAAAGTGTGATCCCTAGCAACTTGAAAACTTGTTTGGAATGAAAATTCTCAGGCCTCACCCCAGGCCTACTGAGTCAAACATTCTGGAGTTAAAGCCCAGCAACCTGGGTCCTCCAAGCGGTTCCCCTGCATTCTAAAGTTTGAGAAACACTAGCCTAGAATATAGACTCTAATTCAGTGGTTTGTGATTATGGCTGCACATGAGAATCACCTGTGGACATTTTAAAGGTTATCAGTAACCGGGTCCCATTGCCTAAGATTCTGGTATAGCTGATCTAGAAGAGGCCCAGACACTGTATTTTTTCCAAAGTTCCCTAAGTGTGCCAGCAAGGTTAAAAACCACTGAGCTAGATGCAGAGCTGCTATACACGGGATGCAGGTACTAATGGATAATTACAAAAGGCAATGTGTGAATACCCTTCCATCACTAAAATCCTAGGATTCTTAAAAGCAAAATAAAAATTAAAAAACAAATTAGGGCGCCTGGGTGGCTCAGTTGGTTAAGCGACTGCCTTCAGCTCAGGTCATGATCCTGGAGTCCAGGGGTCGAGTCCCGCATCGGGCTCCCTGCTCAGCAAGGAGTCTGCTTCTCCCTCTGACCCTCCCCCCTCTCACGCTCTATCTCATTCTCTCTCTCAAATAAATAAAATCTTAAAAAAAAAAATTAACTTATTTAGCACAGAGATAAATGTTAAAATTAGTGATTCTTTAATGTTTTAATTGTAGAACACTACTAATTAATAATGTAATTGAGGGCAACATTTAGTAAGACGCAACTAGATACAGTTCAGACAAATGCTAATATTGTACTGCCTAATCCAATTTGATTCTTTTCACACTATAGCCAATCATGTTTTTAAGGACAATACCAAGGTTAAAATATTTCTTTCTTGTTTTGAAATTGAATCTAATTTATTGTGGGTCCACCCTCCAGACAACATGACAAATACAAGGCGGCCCATGACGCAAGACAAAACCCCATAAGTATCTCCGTGATTAATCTATGCTAAATTGACTCAACTCACATAAAGGCTACATTAGAAGATACCAGCTAATTTATCCCCAGGCGCCCAGACGTTCCAGGATGCTACAAGTACCATAGCGCCTACAATGAATATGCCTCCATAGCGAGATGCTATGTCAGGCTGCTCAATATTGTAATCAGACCAGAATGCAAAGACAGAAGAGTGGAGGCTGTCAACTTTTCAATATTACCATAACTTTATTACATTTCACCAAGAGTACTCAATAAATATTAATAAAGAATCTGCTGATACCTACTAAGCCACCCCATACACAGGGAACACCATCTACTGCCCATCATATCCAAAAGCGCCACAATACTAGAGGGCTGAGCCACAGCCCATCTCATGGTCCCCAGGGAAAGAATGTGTGAACAGAAAGGAGTGAGCCTCATGGAACCCACACAGAAGGAATTATCATTATCATTTTATCTAACATTGTCTCAAGAATCAAGAATAGGGACCTGGGAAGGGAGAGACATAAACATTCCAGTCAAGCTGGCCTCTGGCCCCTGCAGCCCCTCTGCCTGTGTTCTACCCTTGTACCCTGATACTCCTGCGTCCAAAACAACTCATCTCTCTCTCAAAAATAATGCGTTCCTGTGCCTTTACATATATTATATTACTCCTCAGCCTAGAATGTTCTCTTGACATATTCCTATTGACCCAGTCTGAGTATGACCTCCTCTGAGAGGCATCTGGTACAGTGTAAGTTTCACTGAACACTGGCTGAGTGAATGAGAAGGCCTCCCTGATCGCTTCAGGGAGTGCTGGCCACTGCCTTCTCAACAGTACTATAATCAGTCACTGTTAAAAATATACCAAACTGACTAATGAGGTAATGTATGGTGATTAACATAACAATAAAAAAATTTAAAGGCAAAAAAATTTCACACATAAATGAAAAAGGAAAAAAAAATATATACCAAACTGTACTTTAGTAATTTATATCATCCATTCTCAAAGTGGGGCCCAATTTGGGGGGAGAGGAAGGTAGCTCTGAGACCCTCTCAGGGTATTCCTGAGTTCAAAACTAAGATGTTACTTACCTTTTGCCCTCTTACTCTCTCACAAGTATACAGTGATTTCCAGAGCCTACCTGATACATAAGGTTATCACTCTGACAGTTAATGGAATGTGTGTTTGTGTATTCTTGTGTTTCTAATTTTTGTCTTAACTTTCAAATACAGCAAATATTGATAGCTATAACCCACATAAACAAAAGCTCTTTGGAGTTCTCAGTAATTTTTTTTTAAAGATTTTATCTATTTATTCATGAGAGACAGAGAGAGAGAGAGAGAGAAGCAGGCTCCCCGCTGAGCAGCGAGCCTGATGTGGGACTCGATCCCAGGACCCTGGGATCATGACCTGAGCCGAAGGCAGACGCTTAACCATCTGAGTCACCCAGGCGCCCACTCAGTAATTTTTAGTAGTGTAAAGGAGTCCCTAGGTCAAAATGTTTGAGCTCCCTTATTCATTTATCTCTTACGAGGCTGTGAACTCCTTAAGTATCTTAGTCATCAATGGATTCCCAGCTCTTGCTCAATCAACGTTTGCTGAATTAACCAAAGTATGTTCTCTTGGGGGCAAAGTGGAGTAGAGGTAGTACCCCCAAAGTTTCCCATAGCATTATGAAAGCTCCCTCAAGATTTTACAGTTCCCTGCGCTACAATCCTGCTCAGAAGCAACCTTCTGTTGAGTACTTCAGTTTCCTGGACACCGTGACATTGAGAATACCATGTGCAGTATAACAGATACAGCAATTCAATCATTTGCAAGGAACAGCTCCACCTCTATCCCAGTGTAAAATATTCAACTGTAAAGTATTCTAATTTATATAGCAATGTCTTGTGCTTGTAAGTTTGATTAGGATAAGTAAGGCCCAGAATAGTTAATAAACTATAGTTGACGAAATCAAAGTACTAGGCTAAAAGCAAGACACAGCAAAGCAAGTCTTTAATGCTAGTGACTCCACTAAGAAAACGTCCCTTTGAGAGGCTCTGCTGAGGGTGTACTTGGCCTCCATGATATTTTTATCATTCATTCACAGAACAAAAATGCACTGAATGCCCTCTATGTACTAGGCACTATGCTAGGTGATGGTGAGTAAAACGTAACCAAGCTGTAAAGCCAAATGTCTAAGCAGTGAACCTATGTAGGAAAGATGGGAAAGATAAGTTAGTGCCAGTTCATAAACAGTCTCGATCAATAAGCTACAATGTAATGTGAAATCCCAAAAAAAACACTTTCTTCCCTCTTTTCCGCGCTTAGTAAGGCAATTCTATATGGTCTTTAACTTCATCTTATTCCTCCCTCTGCCCTTTCTGAGCCCTCAAATGAAGGGAAGAACAGCATCCAGGCTGTTATTAATACTGTCTCCAGAGTGACACACCCTGGCAACCAGACTCCCCCTGATCTACCCCTGCAATGAGGATGCTAAATGTTCTCCTTCCCTCTCCTCTTTATGCTTCTGTCATCCATGCTTCTGGATCCATATCCCCTTCCCTTTCCCCATTTTCTCCCTCCCACCCCACTTATTTAGCTCGTGTTCCCCAAAAAAGCTGGCCCTGGATTCCAGTCTAAGCCCCAAGCAAGCTCGGATAAGCATCAGAGGAGAAACTGAGGCCCACAGAAGTCAGAACTAGAGAAGTTACCTTCGGTTCAGTAAACAACAGGCCCTCAAAGACCTCATTTCCCAAGTGTGAAAGGAGAACACTCAACAGTAAGAACTCGAAAGGGACAGAGTGTTACACTGAGTGGGGCTTCGCCTCTTTCTCCTTGTCTCAGCGTCATTCTGACTGCCCTACGTGCTGTCCTGCTCTTCGAGGGACCGGCTCCATCTCATTCCTCCGCGTCTCAGCTTAAATGTCACCTTTCAGAGAGGCCTTCCTGGGCACCGATCTAAATGAGACCTGCTTCAGTGCTGTCTCTTAGGACCACTTCATAGTTTCCTCGCGGCCTCCTGCCACCATTAGGACAATTCGGGATTACTCGAGCGTCGCGAGGGGAGGGACCCCCCCCCACCCCCGGCACTGGAAAGCGGTGGCGCTCGGCGCCGCCTGAATGAATGAGTGGACGAGAGCGGGCGTCGCTCGCCATGCCCCGCGCGTCCCCCGGCACCGCCTCCCGCGCTCCCGGGCCAGCCTCACCCGTCCCCCGGCACCTCCCGCAGCTTCAGCCCCAGGGCCTGCAGCTGGTTGGCGAAGCTGACGAACTCCTCCTCGCAGCCGCCGCCGCCGCCGGACTCTGGCCGGTTCCGCCGCTCCTTGGCCAGGGCCCGGCGCGCCGCCCGCTCGTCGCGCTTGCGCTCGGCCTCGGCTTTCCGGCTGCCGCTTCCCGGCCGGCCCTTGGCCGCCTGCTTTCGGGACATGGCCGCGATGCGCGGCCCGCAGCTGCAAGAGGATCCCCCGGCTGCCGTCTCAGGTGCCAGGAAGGCGAAGCGGCGCGGGCTACGGAGCCCGGCGACGGCGACGCGGCCACCGCGCCTGCGCGGGCGCCGGGCCCCGGGTCACGTGACGGGCCCCGCGCCCTCCTCGCGGCTCTGTTGGCAGGCACCGTAGAGAGCTCGCCTGGGGGAGCCAGAGGGGCACCCACCTTCGTTGGCTCCGCTCTCCCCCCCGGCGGTGGGTGGTGCCCTGAGTGAGGAGCGGGTGGCAGCCAAGAACGAGGCAGGGGAAAGATCGAGGAGAGAAACGGAGGAAGATTGAAAAGTGGGAGACCAGAGCAGCGACAAAAGTAAGGAAAGAGAGGAAACCAAAAACTTTCAACTCTACTTAGGAGCCTACAGTTGGGGTAGGCCCGTTTACATGGCTCAGTCGTGTTTAATTATCCGCATATTACGGGAAACTGGATCTGAGAGGTTAAGGAATTTCAAGAAGATCACACCGCAAAGAAGCAGAGCTTTGCCCTGGTTCCAAAGCCCATACGCTTTGTTTATTTAATCCTTCTCTTCTCTACCATCTTCACAACTCAAGGGAGAGGTTGCCCTTGTCCAAAATGTCTGGGAACTCCGGGAATCTGGATTCCAATCTAGGGAGAGCCACCTAGGTTTGCCTTGAATTAAGGGTTCCCTGGGACGCAGGGCTTGCAGTTTTAAAACCCAGACCGCCCTGGGTAAACCAGGATCGTTAATCACTCTAATGCACACCCACATATTCTGGAACTTAACCCCATCTGTAACCCCCTGTCTCCTGCAATAATCCCTTTGTTAAAAGGCAAACTGAGGCGCATCAGCATTTTCGAGGGTTTATTTTGAATATACATCATTAGAATGGAGCAATGCCAAACCAAAGGTGGTTGGGGGGCCCTCCTCTAACAGGAGCTAGGGGAGAGGTTTTTTTTTTTTTTAAATAATTTTTTATTGTTATGTTAATCACTATACATTACATCATTAGTTTTTGATGTAGTGTTCCATGATTCATTGTTTGTGCATAACACCCAGTGCTCCACGCAGTAGGGGAGAGGTTTTTATAGAGAAGACAGGAAACTAAGCAAGGAAATTATTTGATTGGCTGTAGCGTGAGCCATTGACTTATTTGGGAAAACCTATTTGTGCTTTGTTCTTAAGTTTCATTTTCTGGGATTTGAGTGCATTGACTCTGGCTTAGGTTTTGGTTCGCTTATATAGTTACAAGGCATTACAGCCACCTTGGTCTAATAGCCTCCTCGTTCAGTTACCTTAACACTCTCTCCTCCCTCATCTCAGCCCCTCTTCTCAACTCTTTCCCTTCCCATAGTCATGCTACTGCCTTCTCTTCATGGCCCTCTGAACCAATCTTGCCATCCCTGGGAATGTTGCTAATGTTTCTGCCCATAATAATTATCTTCTCACTCTACCTACAAGTTCCTCTTGGGTCATGGCCAAAAGCAGCATCTGCATGCTCAGTTTCACCCAGCATCCGTATTTATCTTCGATCAGTAACTCTCATCTCAGGCCCTGTGCCAGGTGCCCGGCGTAACCCCCAACCAAAGAGACAGGGGGATTGCCCTCAGGAAGCCCAGTTTCCAGTGGGCATATAGACAAGGATACAGCAATTATAATACTGCATGAGAAATGCTATCAAGGAGGAGGTATAGGTGCCATGGGGTTGGGGGGGAAGCAGAGTGAAAGATGCAAAAAGGCTTCTTGGAAGAGCTGAGTGCCAGGCTGAAGCTGGAAGGGCGAGCAGGACTTGGACAGACGGAAAGAGTTCAGAGGGAAAAGACTGTGTGCTCAGTTTTGAGAAATGAAGGAAGTGCCATCTGACAGAAGTACGGAGGCTTGAGCAGGAAGTGGAAGGAAAGCCCAGCTCCAGCCCAATCTCATAGGGCGATGAAGGAGCTCAGCCCAAGTCCTTAGAGCCATGGGGGGCCATCTTGGAGACAGACATGATCGGGTGTATGTCTAGAAATATGTCTTCGGCTTTGGTGAGGAGAATGGGTCAGAGGGCAGATGTCACATAGGAGGCTCCAGAGACAGATGACAGTGATCCAATTCTGGGTCTAGGACATGACGCTGGATCTGGGATGGAGGGGAAGTGAGGGCGATTGGAAAGATAGATTCACATGCTAGTAAAAGCACATAGAAGGGAACTGGACTGACTTGTCTTGGAATGTTTCACATGCTTCACTGAAGTTCCTGAAATTCTTCCACTACAGATCCTTCTTTTGTTCTCAGGAAGAAAGAGTGTGAACTGTGCCCGGACCCGCCTTTTCTTCCACAGATATTCCAAGGTCTTATATGACCCCTCTGCTGTGTTTAGTAAGGGGGGATGGGCAGTGCTGGGAGTGTAAACCCCCTGGACAGGATGGCAGAGACCCATCTCCCAAGTTCCTTTTGTTCATCTGTAAAATAGCAGTAATAACAGCAAAAACCAAATGCAACAGTAATGACGGTAATGTCAAACTTCTGTGGTGTTACTGTGTGCCTGGCACTGTTCTCACTGCTTTACAAATACTATCTTGTTTAATCATTACAACAACCCAATGAAATATGTACTGTCTGAGGCACAGAGAGGTTAAGTAACTTGCCCAAAGTCACAAAGTAACAGAGCCAGGATTTGAAGCCAGGCCATTTCACTCCAGACTATATGCTCTTTTTTTTTTTTTTTTTTTTAAAGTAGGCCTCACACCTACCATGGGGCTTGAACTCACAACCCCAGGATCAAGAGTCCCGCACTGTACTGACTGAGCCAGCCGGGTGTTCTAGGACTATATGCTCTTAACCACTATATCATACTACACACATAACTTTTCATAAACTGCACAAAACTCTATATAACACATGAATTTATTTCATTATTAACTCTCTTTGTTCCACATTCGTTGCTAATACAGTCTTTTCTACCACCCCTGTTGTCACCTATCACTGTTGTCTGATTTTCTATTTAAGTTTTTCTGTGTTAAAGATCTCCATCCTGGGTTCACCTTAGGTGAGTGATTTAACTTCTGAACTTCAGTTTGCTATCCTGTCAAATGTCCATGCTAACGTAGGAATGGGAGGGAGAGTTGTAAACATTAATAGAAACATAAAGCCCCAGGCTCACCAGCTTAACAAAGTGCTTGAATCATTCCTCTGTGGGAGCTCGTGGGAGCAAGGCAAAGCCTGGTGTTGCAAACTTCAGAAACCAGAAGAGGAAGGTTTGTCTTCACGAAACATATGGAATGCAGAACATGTGGAAATGGTGACAGAAATGCAAACACTTGCCCTTGTCATAAAGTTCTTTTCCTCCAGAGGCCCGTGGCCTTTCAGCCCATGCCTAGAATGTTGAAGGAGCTAGTTGCTCTTCACTCAGCAGAGACCTGTATTACACAATGTCTCCCTCTAAGTGCAAAGGAATACTGCTTGTATGTTACATTGAAAGGCCAAAGGGAAGGAGGACTTGTGCGCTAAATGGATGCTCTACCAGTTTCATCAGAGTTAATTCAAAGATTCATGAAACCTCACTGGGTGGCACATAGTACAGGAATCCCCCCTTCTCTGCAGGGGACACATTCTAAGACTCCCAGCAAGTGCCTGAAACCGCAGATAGTACCGAACCCTATATATACTATGTTTGTCCCTCTACACACAAACGTATGATAAAGTTTAATTTATAAATTAGGCACAGAAATAGATTAGCAATAATAACGTATAATGCAATAAAACAATTATAACAAATTGTATATATAACAAATTATAACAAACTGTAATAAAAGTTAAGTGAGGGACGCCCAGGTGGCTCAACCAGTTAAACGTCTGCCTTCAGCTCAGGTCATGATCTCAGGGTCCTGGGATGGAGTCCCGCATCGGGCTCCCTCCTCAGCGGAGTCTACCTCTCCCTCTCCCTCTGCCTCTCCCCCACACCCCACTGGTGCTCTCTCTCTCGAATAAATAAAATCTTTAAAAAAGTTATGTGAATGTGGTTCCTCTTTCTCTCTCAAAATATCTTGCACTCACCTTTCTTCTTGTGATGACGTGAGATAAGATACCCATGTGATGAGATGTAGTGAGGTGAAGGTGAATGACCAGGCATATGACGATGTAGCCTTAGGCTACTATTGACCTTCTGACAATCCATTCACATCATCAGGAGGATCATCTGCTTCTGGACTGGGGTTGATCGCAGGTAACTGAAATTGTGGAAAGCAAGCCATCGATAAGGGGGGACTACTTGCAAATTAGTTTTTTTTAAAAAGTGTGATTAGCAGAATTTTGGTGAAGAAATGCAACTTTAGGACTTGTCAGAACTTACCATGAAGGGTGTGAGAACTCACACACTGCAGTTTGGACGTAAACTAGTCTGGCCACTTTGGAGGGCAATGGGGCAGTCCCCGGTAGCGTTTTACATGCCTGATGACCCAGAGAGACCACATCTCATTACCCATTCTATTTTTTTAAAAGATTTTATTTATTTATTTGAGACAGAATGAGAGAGAGAGAGAGAGAGCACATGAGAGGGGGGAGGGTCAGAGGGAGAAGCAGACTCCCCGCCGACCAGGGAGCCCGATGCGGGACTCGATCCAGGGACTCCAGGATCATGACAGCCGAAGGCAGCCGCCCAACCAACTGAGCCACCCAAGCGCCCCATTACCCATTCTAAAACAAATCTTGCACCATGGACCGGGAGTTATACCCACGTATGTTTAAGGCATGATGGTATGTAAAAGCCAGTAATTAGAAACAATGTAAATATCCATCCATAGGAAAATGGCTTCTTAAATTACAAAGCAGCCATTTATTAAATCCTTCGCAACAGTTTAAAAGGTTGAGGGTGAGGAAAATGAGGTTGGTCTAGAACTCACATACACAGGTCTCCCGGACACATGGTCGAATGAAAAACCACAAGGCAAAACAATGCATTCCAAGTAGCTTTTACCTAAAACACGAAAATAACATAAAACAAAACAAAA